TCTCAAGCAAATTATATTTGACGTATTTGTAGCCCCTACAATGATATTTAGTGTTAGTCCAAGCAAATGACTAAAATCATTTGTAGGCCAGGAAAAGAACTTCCACATAAAAACTCTAAACATCTGAAACTTGGTGTCCCGCTTAGAGGACGAGATACATTACTGCAACGAATGACTTTCTATAAGATTGCATCTTTCTCTGAAGGATGGGTTTTTATCTCTGCTAATGTTTCAGGAGAAGCATTGGTTGAGTTACTAAGGGCTCTAAATGATTCCAGTAATCGAATTAAAGATTGGAATGACTTTTTGGTGAGCCCTTGTGTTAGTTGGTCTCATGTTACTTGCAGAAACGGAAATGTCATATCCTTGTAAGTGCTTCATCTTATAGGGTAGATTTGTATTTTCATAAATTTATTATTCCTTTTCTTTTCTGGTAACTGGCACGATACGCATATGTATTCCCACCCTTGGTGTATTGAAGTAGGTTCTGTGGTTTAATTTGTGGGTGGTTGGCAGTGCATTGAGTTTGTTAATGTACTAATTACAGGAGCCTAGCTTCGATTGGATTTTCAGGAACTCTTTCATCGTCAATTACCAAACTAAAGTATTTGGTTAGCTTGTAAGTTTTACACTTGATTAATATTGCGCTTTATTGCCCCCTCCTGCTTGTTTTTCAGCCTTCTTCTTGTCATTGTAGTTAATTCAACATATTGAATTACTCCTAATGTATAAATTCATTGGTCGTCATTATGCAAGATTGAGCCACATTTGATCTTTTTATTATTAAGTAGATGTTTTCACCTAGTATCTCTTAGCCCATGAAACTCTTGGCAAAATTTCACTCCTAAATGTGTACAGCTTGAAAAAAATAAAGAAAGAAGGGTAGAAAAACAGAGCTGGTTGTGCTATTGCTAAACTGATTTGTAGATACTTGTTTTTCTTTCTTCATATTTGATCAATTTCCGAAAAATAGGAGACCAAAGATATGAAAAAGATTGTCTTCTTTTTACTTTTGTTTATTTTGTAAATATGGTGTTCTAATGTGCTTTAGCTGACTAACAAATTCAATTTATAACTTTTAATTTAGCCATGATGTGGCTTATCTCTTTTTTCAATGTCTTTGAGCACCTAACTAAATTTGTGATTATGAAGAGAGATTCAGATGTTCTTAATTCAATGCAGGGACTTGCAAAATAATAATCTATCTGGTGTTGTACCTGATTATCTGGGCAGCTTGTTACACCTGCAAAATCTCAACATCGCACACAATAAATTTAATGGCACTATACCAACCACTTGGGGTCAACTTTCAAACCTGAAGCATTTGTAAGTTTGCTTCCATTCTTATTTAACCCCCATCTCCTTCCCTTTGGGGCTTTTTGGAAAAAATGTTTTCATTGTTTCTGATTCTGAGGTAGCATAGATAATGGCATCTTTTTTTCCCAGTTTAGTTACTTCTTGTACTGAAGCAATGATATCGCCTTATTCATCAGGGTGATGAAAGGAAACAAATTAAGTGGAACGATTCCTGATTCACTTGCAAATATTACAGGATTAAGTGAACTGTAAGGAATCTCATCCTCCTCTTTAACTGCTTTTTGTCATTATTATCTTCTGTTCCATCTTCACTCTTATGCACATGATGCCCATGTTATACTGCTTATGACTTTTTCTGTTCACAGGGATCTGTCATCCAACAATTTGACTGGGAAAATACCGACAAAATTGTTCTCGATACCCCTATTCAAGTAATTCATTACATATTCCATGTTCTTCAACCTTCTATGCTCTTAAAAGATTTGTTTTGCCCCTTTGAAAATTGGTCATTTATCAATGGTTGCTTCTAGTGGCATAAATTTGTTCTTGTATATGTGGTTCACTTGAAGCATTCAATTGAATGGAGACCTAGTTTAATTTGTTTTAACTCTCACTCCACAAACAAATTAGTATTGTTTTTACTTGACCCATGGTTGCCTCTTGCTATTTTTTGATGGACTGATTCTGCTTCGCCCCTTGCCAGTGTCTTGATGCATGATGCTGTGGATAATGTCCTAATTTTGCTTTGTTTAGATCTACGAAGTACGGACACTTCATTTTAGTCAGAGTGTTGGTGTTGGACATGTTTTGGACATGACAAAATGAGCGTTCAATTTTTATTGTTAACTATTTTCAGGACACACAGGGGACTCGCTTTAGAACACGTTTTTAGATTTTTTTTTTTTCAAAATTTGAAAACATGTCTAATAACTTTATAATTAAGGAATTTATTTTTATATTTAAAGAAATATGAGTCAAATGCATAATGTAGAGAGAGCTATAATCACTACATGCACATTGGATATGGATATAACATAATTTCGGACACTATTGTAGAATTATATACAAATGGAATAAACTTTGAATATGAAAGCAATGTAATGAAAAATAGGTTTATGAAATTAGGGTTCCCTAAAATTGATGAAAATTAGAGTTACAATTTGGGATATTTTTGAAAATGAAAATTATAGTATTCATTGATTGTTGGATCATGAATATTTAAGATAAGTGTATATAAGAATATGTGATATTGTATTTTTAATTCGATGATATCATCATGTGAATTGTTAGAACATGATAATATATTAATATAATTAAATAAATACGTAATATTTAACATGTCCCACAACATATGTGTGTCCTTCTTTTTTGAAAACTTACGTATTTGCATACGTGCTTCTTAGGTTCAAATGTTAGACCTTCAGTCTATCATTCCTTCTGTATGCGAATTGGGTTAGTTCTGATTATAATCTCCTTTTTAATCAGAATTTGAACTAAGTTATCACAATTTTTCTGGTAAGTGTTGGATTTTTTATTCAGGAAAATTGTGTTCAATCTCAACCAATTGATACAGGTCAGTTCACTCACTGTAAAGTAAAGTCACAAGGAGGAAATTAAATATCAACTGTGTATTGTAACATTAAAGTCTTTGTGATGCAACCACTTATGAAAGTTGGAGCTAAATGCTCGTTTTATTAATGATCAATGGCAAATCTACGAGAAGATGTGAAAGCAAGATGCAGAAAATAATAGGAGAAACTGGGGAAAAAAAACTTAAAAAGGCTAGAAATGGACTGTGGAGATGCTTTCGTTTCTGAAAATAGGAGCTAAATAGGTTGTTGCCCTTGACCTTTCATATAGCCTTATAGAATCTACTAGATAGCATACTACTTAAAATCTGACAGTTAAATACTTTACTTCTCAGCCCTGCAATTGCACACAAGAAAGCCACTCACTTAACGAGACACTAATGAACATATATAAACTATAAAGCAATATGGAACAAGACAAAACACCGTAGAGCAGCACTCCATGAAGCTGCATTGGCACATCTAGGTTTCAGCTTAGAATGAGGGTATCTAGAGTACTTTAGATAGTCGCAGTACTATAAAAACTTGCTGGAAATTAATGCAACTGTATCACTTCCATTTAGAGGCGCAGTGCAGCGCAAGTTGTTTGGTGCCAATATGTTGATTTCTTGATCTTGTGGTTTGAGGTGCACAAATAATTCCAAAAACGCTGCAAAAAGGGATAATAACAATTCTCTAATGGTATTAAACTCTGTTGACCCTTTTTCCAAATGTTTTATGCTTAACATTACCTTATAAAATAGAGAGGGCGGATCTTGTTGCATTGCACATGTCAGACCCTCCTTAAACCCTGCTCTGGGGGTGGCGTCGTGCATTTGGCTTCCCTTTTCAGTCTTTTATTTGTCTGATAACTAATTCATGGATTGCAGAAGCTTATAAATACCATTGACTCTCCATTTTTAGGCACACTAATTTTGGATAATGCTGATTGAATTCGGCAATCACCGTCTTATGTTGATGGCTTCCCACGATGAGACATGTCAGATTTTAGCAGAGTCAATGATACTAAGCATGATGAAATCCATCTACCGAATTTTTTTAGAATATCATTGTGATTTTAAAATGGGGAAATATTGAGGAAGTTGTGATTGTTGTGTGCTAAATGTCAAACTTGATCTCAGTGGGTTATAACTGTTGAGAGCAAGGGCTTGAAGTGCATGACATACTCACCCGGAAGAAGAAAACTGTGAAAAAGGGCTATCAGAGAGGAACTTTGCTGAGTTTGATCATTCACAATGATGGTACATTCATTATGAACTGAAAATTTGTTAAATAAATGGAGGTAAACTGTTGATTTAACACTGTACTAATACTCGTCATGATAAAGTAGCATCAACTTCTTTTTCTATCTTTTGTTCTTCCGCTACTTGTCCTCCCCTTGTAACACAACAGAAAGGTAGATGATCTGGAGGGCATGTAAATGATTATTGAGTGAATGTTTCTTATGCTGGTGGTAAGTTTGATACATTAATATGACCAAGTATCTCAATTGCAATAGTGACGGCAGTCAACCCGAAGTGATCTAGATTTTGGTCGCTGCTTTATCTTATGCGTTTCGTACATCAGTTTTACAGGAACTCATCTTACTTGTGGCACCAGCTTGCAGGAACCTTGCATTCCAAATTCCTCAATTCCAGGTTCAGCCTTTTTCAATGTTGCGTTCCTCTGGTTCCTATCAATGTGATCTCTAATCTATGAGAGGACTAATTTTTCAATACTGTTGCAGTTTCAAGCAGAAAATCGAAACTTGAAGTTATTGTGACTGGTGCAAGCTGTAGTGCCTTCATTCTTCTGATGCTTGGGGCTGTCTTTGCATATCGTTTCTGCAAAGTGCATAGATGCAAACATGATCAATTTTTTGATGTGGCAGGTATGCCTTGCTTCTCTTTTATTGTATTTCCATGAAAGGTAGATGTTAGCCTTTACTTTTCATATGCAGTGTGACATCAAAATCTACTTTTTTATCTCTATGTAACTTCTGCCACTAAGTCATTAACACTTACAAAAATGATCCCAAATAGCCATAAAGAATTGGAAAAGTTGTTCCATGTACTTATTAAGGTGAACCTCTAAATGTGGCTATCTACAATCTATATTTGAATACGTAAAACTCTGTCAAAGTGACTGCCAATAGTTTTGTCCATTTGACCATGGTTTTGATAAATTGATATAATTGTTACCAAATTCACAATCTAAATGCGAATCTGAAGAAATCCAAACCGTGGTCCCAATCTAAGACTGTTTTAGTTAGACATATGTCTGTACATGTACATATACACTCACATTAGCAATAAGAAGTTACAATTATGCATTTTACAAACTGCCAACTTGATCGGAATGCACACCATCAGATTGGGGGTTCATTGATTCTTTTTGTGACAGCGTTTGAAACTTGAATATTAGGGTTTATGAAAAGAAAGAGAATGAGAATAAGAGAGAAAGAGAGATTGTGGAACAAGATTGAGGATGATGTGTGTTGTCAAAACCCTATCACCTAGCCAAGGATCAAAATATCGTTTTAAAACGGTTGACACGTCCGAAACGTTTTCGTTTCCATGGAGATCGAAATGAATCAGTGATGGAATCGAAATTTTGATGATTTGAGGTGTTCCATGATGTTTCAAAATGTTGTTATATTTCAATATGTTTGCACAATTATTTCGGAATGTTTTAAAATATTTCAAGATATTTTAGTATATTTCGATCAATGTTTTGAAAAAAAAATTCTTAGATTTTTTATTTTTTTCATTCTATTTCTGAAACAGGTCGAAACGTTTTCGAAACACATCAAAATGTTTCCGTTTCTTAGGTGATCGAAACAATACACCGAAATGAAATTTTGATCCTAGGTGACCTAGCCAAATCAAGCTTTACGTTTCAATCACTTAGGATTGGCTATATGAGTCCGTCTTCGCCATTCATTTCGATCTTGCACTATACACTCATTTAAGTTTAATATTTTAATATATTTTCTTATTATTTCGTTCAATGTTAATTAGGGTGTAGCCCTACTTCTAATACCATTAAGATAAATTTTATCACTTTTTCTAACTCGTGTCTCTATCGACCTCAATTGAACATGACCAAACCATTTTAATCTATTATCTATCAACTTGTTCTCAATTGAAACTACTCCTATCCTTTCTCTAATACGGCCATTTCATATTTTATCCTTTCTAATTTTTTGACACATCTACCTTAACATTTTCATTTCTGTTACGCTCATTTTATCATTGTTTTTTCCTAGTTGCCCATCACTTCTTCCCATACAACATTGCTTTCCTTATAACTGTTCGGTAAACCTTATCTTTCAATTTTGTTGGTATCCTTCTATCACATAATATGCCAGAGACTTTCCTTTACTTAAGCCAACTGGCATTGATTTTATGAGTTACATCGTCTCTAATCTCTCCATCATTTTTACTGATTGATTCTAGATATCTAAATTGTTTACTTGTTAGTATTTCTTGATTTTCAATCTTAAGTTTTTTACTATGTCTTCTTCTTTTATTACTAAAATTATATTACATGTATTCAGTCATATTACTACTTATTTTAAACTCTTTCGACTCGAGTGCCTCTCTCCAAATTTTTAGCTTATTGTTAATTCCCTTTCGAGTTTCATCTGCTAAGACAATATCATATGCAAATAGCATACACCATAAGATATCATCTTGAATATGTCTAGTGAATTCATTTATATTTAGGGCGAATAGGTATGGACTTTGGGTTGATTCTTGGTGTAATCCCACTATGATTGAAAATTCTTTACTTTCTCCCATAAAAGACTTAATTGTAGTCATATCCCCATCATACATGTCTTTTTATCACCTCAATAGACCTATTCGTCACTCATTTTCTCTCAAGTACCCTCCATTTTATATTTCTAAGTATTCTATTATACGTCTTTTTATATTGATATTGAAGACGATTACAATATTAGGAAAGTAGAGGATAATAGGAAGCAAATCTCAAACAATAAGAAAGCAACATAACAGGAAAGTGAAATAGAAAATTAATTCTCCAACATTCCCGTGAAGCTAGAGCATAGAGATAAAAAATGTCTAGCTTGGAAAAATGGTTAGTAAAGGTGGAGTGGGCAAATGGTTTTGTACGAATTTCATCGATTTGATCACCTGAATTTGCATAAGGAATGATACTCTCATTTTGTATTAAGAGTTCCTAAATAAAATAACAATCAACTTCAATGTGTTTAGAAAACTCATGAAACATTGCATTACTAGCAATAAAAATGGTTGCCTAGTTATCACAATGCCACCCATCTCATGAAGTAGAAATTGAACCCATCACATCTCACATGAAATAAGAGTCATGGCATGATATTCGGCATGTGCATTAGAACATGACATCATATTTTGTTTCTTATCGTGCGAATTAACAAAATTACTACCAATAAATGCATAATAACCCGAAGTAGACTGTCCATTAGCACCGATTGTCTACATAGTTAGATTCAAAAAATCCAATAACATTTAAGTAGGACGACGGCCGGTATAACAACCCTCTACCGGTCATTCTTTCAAGTACTGAAAAATACAACAGATATCGTCCCAATGAGGTGTATGAGTAGTATGCATATATTGACTAACAACACTAACTCCATAAGTAATGTCGGGACGTGTAACTATGAGATAAATAAACTTACCAACCAACTTCTGATAATGCCCCATGGCCTAAAAAAAATCTTCATTTTCAATATCCAATTTCACTGTTGGATCATAAGGGTATCAATTGGGGGTGCAACAAGTGTACATTTTTGAGAGGGTAAATCCAACACAATATTTCATTGGTACAAACTAATACATTCCTTTGATATGGCTAGTTCGAGGTCAGGAAAGTATCAAAGGATAACCAAGTCTTTGTTATGGAACTATCTTCTCAAATATATTTTACATGGGCAATACCAACTGAATCACTACCATTGATAATAATATTATCAACATAGACAATGAGAACAATGAGACCTTTGGTTGATTTGCTTGTAAATACAAAATGATCTGAATTAGAGCGCTTAAAGTCATACTGAAGTGCTGTACAATGATTTCTTCAACCGACATACTAAATATTCTTTACCAAAAACAACATATCTAGGTGGCTGAACCATATATACTTTCTCTTATAGATCCCCATGAGATAAACATTATTTACATCCAGCTGATACAAAGGTGAATCTAAACTTATTGCAATAGATAGTAAAACTCTATCAAAGTTAAGACGGGCAACAAGTGAAAAATTGCTCACGATAATTCACATTGTATGTCATAGTGCAACCCTTGGCAACCAATTGCGTTTTTAAGCGCTCAAGAGAATCATCAGGAAGATACTTCAGAGTATATACCCACCAACAACTAACTGGCTACTTACTAGGACATAATGAAGCAAGGTCCCTTGTCTGATTTTCATAAAGATCTTTATTTTCTTCATTTATCTCCAATTTCTATCTTGGAGATAATAATGCCATTTTGAAAAATTTAGGAATAGAAATAGTAGATAATGATGACGCAAAAAAACAAAAATATGGGAAAAACCAATAAAATTAGACAAAATTAGAAATAAGATGTTGTGTACAGCTAGGAGGACCTTTGTATAATGCAATGGGTAGATCAAAAAGCGATGGAATAACAGATGGCCTGTGAGGTTAGACCATAATAGAAGTCGGTGTTGGCTGTGTGGAGTTGAAGCATAAGGCAGAACCTATCCATCTTTGAAGAGATGGTAAACCTATAGGGGAGGAGCAGACTCTAATGGAGGAAAATGCACTAAGTCCAGAATAATAGGCAACAAAAGCTCCCCTTGACTAGTTAGATATCAAATCTGCACCAAAGCTATGACTTGACACAAGAAAGAAAGGAGATGACTCAAACAAGGTAATATCAACACTGATATGTTAGCAAATAGAAACGGGCTCATAGTAACGATAACCTTATTGAATACGAGAATATTCTAGAAAAATACACTTATTGAGTGTGGTGATAGTTGCTTGGGACAAAGATGACACAACCAAAGACACGATATTAAACTAAATGACGGTGTATTAGGATATTGCAAGGAGAAAGGAGACTTATTGTCCAAAATGGGGGATGACATGTGATTAGTAAGATAAATTGATGTAAGAACAATATTAGTCCAATATAATTTTGACATATGCATGTTAAATATCAACGTGCGGGCAACATCCGATAAATGATGATGTTTCCATTTGGCAATGCCGCAAGATGTCTGAATGAAAAACATTAAAAGGGTTAGACTAATAAATTAAAGAGTTAGGAGGAAAAAGAACTACTTTGATGCTTGCCTAATTGACAAGCCTTATATTCTAACAAAGAAGAAGAACTCAAAATAGGGATCACTTGATGCGACTTCTGTAAAGAAGGATGACAAAGTCCAAAATGCCATTGGAGAGCAAACACGGTAACATTATGGACTGGATGTGGTTCATCACCACCACAAAACACCACTACGACCACCACGACGAACACCACGATTACCTGCATTCATGCTATCGACTTGAGTGGTCATGAAAAAAAAACTAATAGTAGTAACATGCAACTCCACTCAAGAGGAAACCATTGGCGAAAGCACACTCAATGTTGATCAAATCCAAAGGACACAAGTCACTCAAATAAGAACCAAAACAGAGTTGATGAGTAGAACAAAACCAAAACATCAGTTCCTAGGTCAACGAATATTAGGGATTTGGTGGGTTATGTGCTAGAAGACTTTTGACATTATTAGAGGTTGGCATGAGATAGAAATAGGAATCCGATCTACGAAACAAGAATTAGGGGGGGATAAACAACTCATCGAGAAACCTATTGTGTAGTAGCCGAACCCTCTGACCAACAAGAAACCCCCAAAAATCAATCCAAACAAGCATGGTTCATCTAAAGTAACACCCACAAGGTCTAGTCAGAGCTTTTAGG